TCAGCCACAACTTGCATTTAGTGTTAGAATTGTGCTAATGCGAGTGTGGGTTGACCATGTCAATCAGACTAGGCAGATTATACTTGTTTTTAAAAGTGTTCAAACAGCACACTCCTCATACGACAGAATTTCTAATGCTACAAATTGATTGCAAACATAAAAATGTGAATATACATAACCATAAGTAATTAATACATACCGTGCGTGTTCCATGCCACTCGAGACAAACGTATGATACAGGTTTTTAGCCATCGGTTAAAACTACTGCATTGGGAAGCTATCAAAACTGTTAGTGTTATACACAGCGGACGAAAACACCCGAACGAATACTAGCGTTAGACTACGAACTGCATTGAATTCAAGCGTTACAGTGATTGACAGTTTAGTAACAATGCGTTATAGGACGAGATTGTGACACGAGGCGCCACAATACAAAAGAAATTACACGATAATGTGAAAATAGCGTCTTACATGAATAAACAAGAATCATAATGCGATTATTAATGTCTTTCTGATCTCATTATAAGTTATTGTCGAGGTAATTAAAATCCAATAACGGCGAGTGCAACCGGCCGGCTAGTTTTTGCAGGTCTGATATTTACCGTATATCATGCGCAGACGCAGTTGTTCAAACTAATAAACGAAGGGATGGATGGGTGGGTGGGTGACGGATAAATGAAATGATAGATGGATAAAAAACGTGTATATGATTTCAGTCCATACTGAAAAATACGTTCACATAAGATGACCACGTAATTATTATATAGGTGCCGATTTTTCATCATTATTTTTATTTTGGTTGACACATATTGGAATATTCCATCTTCATTATTATGTTGAAATTTAAAAATCTTGAGTTTGCTGTTCTTGGTGATAAAGCGCATAGACTTAGACGCACACACTCAATGACTGATAATGTACTCGTGGTTGTGACGTCATCGTTCGAAGGATCACTCTATTAATTGATTCTGAACTTACACCTTAGAACTAAGGGAAAACGTCAACGTTACAGTTGACTCTGATCATTTTTACATGAAAGAACTAATGGAGGAATTCCGTACTAGTGGATGATCCCGTACTAGTGCAGTTAACTATAAACATCAAAAAGTAAGATTTGAGCTGCGCTGATTATTCTTATTTACAAATTAATCTGCTAATGTAAGTTCAATGTCGTCAATAATAATAATAATAATAATAATAATAATGATAATGATAATAATAATAATAATAATACAGAAAGAATCAGACAATACATAATAAAATAATATAATGATAATAATAATAATAATAATAATAATAATAATAATAATAATAATAATAATGTTGATAATACAGAAAGAATACATAATAAATGAAGAAAAAAATGTATTAATCAAGTTAATAATGCAGTTAAAATTTACGTAACATTTTAGCTGTGCCGATTATTCTTGAATACCAGATGTACGTTCTGCGAATGCAAGTTCAGTGTTCTGAGCATCTTATTAGTAGCAAAAATGTAAATGTACGTCAGATGAATGCACAAGGCATTAGAATTACATCAGACACACATTGTTTCGACTCTGAATACAAGTTTTACAATCGTATGTTACAAAAAAAAAAAACATCATTCTCATCAACATCTTCATTATCAGTTCTGCTCTTGATTCCCAGGGGTGTCCATCAGATATTCATGATACCGCGAATGCCAGACGAACTGATCATTGATCCGATTTGCTATTTATATATGTGTAATATAATATACATATTCATATTATATTAATAGATTCTAGTCTATAATGCGGGTACGGCACTACTACAAGACCTACAAGCAGGTGAAACATAAATTAATGAGGTATCCTTCAGATTGTTAATGAAGAAGTTAAGTGCTAACAGCGATTGGAAGTTTTTTTTTTAAATAAAAAAAAATTGTGCCTGACGTTATTACGAATGAACATCACAGACAGATACACAGCAGATAATTTAGCATGCTCCACCGACATACTTCAAATCCACTGATTATATACGATTAGAATGTGATTACATGTAACTTATAACAATAGAGGCCAAGGTTAATTTATACGGTGTTACTTTGATCAAAATTTCAATCATGGTGTACAGATAACAGGTAAAATCATTTTGAAAAAGTGTTACTATACAGGGGCGGATCCAGGAATGTCCAAAAGGGGGGCCGAAAGTTGGGCCGATTGAGACAACACTGTCGTAGGGGGTCCGGGCATGCCCCTGCGAAACCTGTGTGTTCTAGACGCCCGAACATAACATTTGAGGCATTCTTGGCTATCATTTTTTTTTTCTTTTTCTCTCTTTTTTTCCCCTTTTTTTTTTACCTTCCAAAAGGGGGGCGGGGCCGGGCTGCCCCCCCCCCCAAATCCTCCCCTGCTATATTTATGATTTATGGTATTTATTTATAAGACGAGATAAAAGAGGCTTGGGGAAAATAGTGAGAATCGTGCATGACAATTATTTCAACATCTCAACGCTGATTGATATGCTTTTAATTTGCTATATCAAATAACGATGTATACCTAAAGGCCAACTCAGACAGCGTCGGCCGACGCAGCCCGACCAGATTTATTGTCGGGGACAGTCTTCACTCAGCCGTCGTGAGAAATATTAAACATGTTTAATATTCTACGACGCGACCGCCCCCGATACAAACCATCGCGTCTGCGTTCAACTCACACAGACCCGACGCGACAACAAATCGCGTCGGGCTGCGTCGTACGACGCTGTCTGAGTTGGCCTTTACGGCCATGTAACTATCACTGCGCAAATTTTATTCACAAAACGATACTAATAATACATTTCAGTAGAAAAAATGCATTAGTGCGGATCGCTGAAAGGTGAAGAATGGAGATGATACACGAATAAGGACCCTCTTTTAGTAAACTGCAAACACTACAAAATACGGTAAATTAACACAAACGGACAAAGGAGGAATAATGACGGCTATCCAAATAACGTTATTCTGATTGTCAAATGCCAATCTTTATACCCCGGTCGGCCTCTTGGTTCGGACCCCTCCGTCGGATATTGGACCCCTTGTCGGCAAATTTCTGGCGCCACCGCTGGTCAAACAGGGGGAGAAACAGTCATCATATGAGTGAGACACTTTTGAAACATTGTGTGAATTGTATGCTCGTGTTTAACACAATTCGAAGTTAGCTCGACCGCTCTAAAGTTATTTAAAGTAAAATTTTTAAATCTTTGTAAATGTTTTTTTAAACTTTTCACATTATTGTTTACATATATTTTATTACGTTTTGATTCAACCAGTTAGAGGCGTTTTTTTATCATAGGCGTAGATCCCGGGGGGAGGGGGAGGGGATATATCCCCCAATATTTGACAAGGGGGGATGTTTCATTGTATCATCCCCCCTAATATTTGATTATGTATGGGATAAAATGGAGTCTTACACTTCAAAAAGACTGTCACAGAAATAATTTGCAACGTCTTATGCGCTTACAAAGATGAAAATTAGCATAATTTATTAATGTTGATAAAAAAATTATTTTATCTGGTTCCTATCTAAGCTCTTCTTTCCTTAGATGTTAGATGTGTTTGCAAAGCAAGCCACATTTTCACACTGAAGGGTGTGTACGACATCAGTAATCTTATGTCAATTCCAAGAATGTTTAAGGTAATATCGGTTGATGAGGAATTTATTGATTAGGCCTATAATAGCAAACTGCATCAATAATGAAAAATATTTTTCTACGCCACTGGTTTCGAACTGAATAAAATAAAATAAATAAACAAATAAATAAACAGCAGGGGACTGAATGGACCGTACCCCTACTCTTCTCGAAAGATGTACTGGATTCTTTAAAGTGACACACGAGCCAAATGAGTACACTGGGCCTACGGTTTAAAGTTCTTATCCGATCCGAAAAGACTCATTCCACAATCAGAACCATATGCGAGTGAGCCGTTCGAACCAGTGCCCCTGACTTAACCGCTCGGCAATATAACCCGCCCTCCGCGCTGTTTCGACAGTGTACATACAAAAACTAGACAAATTATTAAAATGGATATACAATACCCGCCAGCTCACCATTTGATAGGCTTACACCATCCCTTTCATTAGACCACAACTACATTAATAAAAAGGACTTAATTATGTTATCGACCTCCATGATATTATCAACAATTTATAAATGAAATGTAGTATGTCATTGATAGTAGTAAACCATGTGACGAAATGCTATAATAAATTATGAAGCCTGAACTAATTTAAGCGAAGAAAAAAATACCGTTCCAGATTAATCTAGATTTAAAATGCAACATTAATTACTATATGAATACCGTACGTTTAGAAAACCTCCGAGCATTGCTTTATAGCATTGGATTAGGAGTAGATGTATCTGTTTATCATGTCGAGCAGCAAACTACTTTTTACATATACAAATTACAATCCGCCTCTACTTGATATTAGAAAAACAGATTTCCCAAATCGTAAATTTTAATGGTATTTTGTAAACAGTATTGTGTATAAACCATTAGTACGCATAAATCTGAACATAAGCCTCGTTATACTCTTTACCTGTCAGATGGCACATGATGTTTGATCCGAAATTTGACTGACTATTTCAGGAATAGTAAGATTAGTAGTTATACTTTATTTATTACACAAAAACCCAATTCACACAAAATTCACATTCTACGCCATATTCTTGGTGTTGAGGCTTGTTTCTCAATACAGTGCAGTGCGAGTTTACAGCCCGTTTGTGAGCTTGGGTCACAATGTAGAGGCATGTTTTGTTCTCAACAAACTTTGTATAATTTGATAATCACCCCAAATACCCAAATAAGGTTTTAGAATCGAAACTGGGCAAAGGCTATATACAAAAAAAAAAAAAAATAAAATAAAATAAACTGGAATTGTTGATAAATAAAATCCAGACCAGAGGAAATTATAAAACAGAATAGCAAATGTAGGTACTGGATAATGGAACTCCTTAATTTTTAAATGTACTTGTGTATGATATAGAAGATGAAATCAGGTTTTAGTCGCCAATCGGGTGACGTAGCTGAGCTTACCAACGCGAATACTTAAAAAATTTATGACATGTCAAAGGTCAATGCATATAAAACATTCAATTGGAAATAATATAGCTTTTGTGCCAATTTATATTACCGAGCATCTTACAGACTTGAAACAAAATACACAGAACTAAGATTAATAGATTGGAGAAATCAATTGCATGAAGACGGGTAGCCTACTACTGAGAATTACGTAAATAGTTTAAAACACTCGAGAAATTTTAAGAAAACTTAATCTAAATTTATATCCTACTTAATCAATATCAAAAGGAATCTATTTCCATTAATCCAGCAGGTTATAGGTAGTTAAAAATATCTAATCACATCCGATGAGAAATCACAAGCAAAAAACATGTAAAAATACAACAGTTTTGCTAATTAGTGATTGATTATACTATTTGATTTTACATCATTGTATGAACTGAGTGAGGGCGCTCTTATAACAGTATGCTCTTTATTGGATAAGCTTTCGTAGTTGAGATTGCCCATGACCATTTCGAAGGTCAATCCTCACCGTATAAATATACAAATAGTATGTCATAAGTAACGTTATACTTTATACAGTTTTATCTATTGCAGATTCGTTGGAATATTCGGGTAGGCCTCGGTATAAACCGCAATGATTAACAAAAACTCCACCAAAAAAGTAGCACGTCGTATGCATTGACATCTATCGACGATCGATTTAATTTATCCAGTAAAGCATTTAATTTAAAATTGATTATTAGGCCTACCGACTAATTATTTTTCTACAGGGGTGGCGCCAGGATTTTCCCGACAGGAGGGGGTGGGGGATGTTCCCGACGAGAGCTAAGTGGGCGTAGTCATGCGTCGCTCAAAATGTTTCGAAAGTGGTCCAGGGGCGAAGCTTAAAAAAATACGACAATTTATGGGTTTCAAATTCTTATTTAATCAATTTCATACATAGAGTCTATTGATGTATAGAAAATAAATATATTTTTTTGTTTTCCTCCCGACGAATTGTGATTTTTCTGCCCGACTACATTAATCATAGTTCGTTAATGACCAAAATTAACATTTAAAGTGCTTTTACAAGATCTGTTAATGAATTATGCATTATTTGTTCATGAATTACGCATTATTTATTCATAAATTATGCATTATTTGTTCAAGAATTGGCATTAAGTGCATTAACATGGTGGGTGAAACGGAAAAGTTTTTTTTTGAAAATACACAATCGGTAATTCTAAGCGAGCATTAGAATAAAAACCCAATGATAATGTACTCTAATGTCTTTTTTACAATTTTCATTATGCAAAAATCAAAAAGAAGAATACCAATCAATTTCGATGAATTAACACTCAATGGGCCTATGAACCAACACGCCAATAATAATTTCCTAAAAAATTAATTTTTCATTGACTTTTGTAGACCGACATTTTGGGCAATACTTTCATAATCTGTCAAAACATCGCCTCTAATAACACCAAAAATGTCTTGCTAAAATTTGCCTACCGAGACCAGTCTCAATACAATAAACTCTCAACAAGTACATGTTGGTCAGTGCTTAGTGCAGTGCAATCTCCAATTCCCTGACCATTTTTCAAAAAAAAAAAAAAAAAAAAAAAAAAAGTGGGGGGGGGGGCTTCTCCAATATAAATCCATCTATTAGGTTAATTGGAAGGTGTAACTGTGAGACACGAAGATGATCAAAAAGGGACAGGATTACTTCTCTAAAATAAGTTTAGGCTGTTTTTATACTAAATAACGGGGGGTGTCAGGAATTTTCCAACGAGGGGTCCAAGCTCCCCGACAAGGGAGTCCACTCGGTCGGGGAATAAATCGGGGAGTTTGTTTAATTAAAAAATAAAACTTTGTGTTTATTATGGGATTCTTTATTCTGTCGAAGTCCCAAGTAGAGGAATAGCTGGCGCCACCACTGCAACCCATACGATCGTAATAGAACGGTATATAATACCTCGCACACGGTAGCACTGCTCGCACTAAACAGCTTTTAATCCCTAAAATCTCGGAGCTCGAGATTTGATTCTTCCCCGACGAAATTGCTGGAAATTCCCCGACAGAGGGGTCCAAGCAGGGGATACAGAGGTCTCTGGTGGGGGGGGGGGGGTGTCCTTTTCCCCGCCCCCTGGAAATCTGCTAGCACCGCCCCTGCTAAATAATCGATCTTTCCGGAATGTCAAATAACAACATTACTGAACAATCAGAAACAAGGCAGGAATATGTACGTGTCCAGGTCCGGGATGTATCTCAGCTTAGTCAAAAGTCGAACAAGTTTAGAAGTCACTAAGGCATACCTTAAGCTGATTTATCAAACCATCTTAGCAAAATCTTAGCTTAAAAATCGTCTTAGATGGTTCATGCGTACAATTGACTTTAAATTTAAGCAATTTTTAAGTTAAAGCAATAATAGTGATAACTTTGACTTAAGCAAAAAAATGGACTTCTAGTTTGATATATCTGGCCCCTGGTTTCCAACAAACACGTGTTCTCGAATAAATGCACGTGTTCGCGTGCGATGTTTTTACACTGTCGTTTTGTGGGGACCTTATCAACAATATCCAAGGAGCGGGGCTTAAGTCCATTAAGGAACACGAATAATGATATGCATCACTAAACAAAGTATCCTTCGTAGAATTTCATTTTCTTCTTATGTCTTTTTCTATTTACACCTCGAATCCTTCTATAATGTATAGCCGTTGCTGACGGAATCGTTGACGTACCGATTTCACTGAAGCTGAGATCGTGGGTCTGTCAATCTCACACAAGCCAGACGTGTTTCGTAATTCTCTGGCTCAAGATTGAGCCAATGACAAACTACGGCGGTATAATCTTATACTTTATAGTCCATATTATTTACTCAGCTAATATATTTTGTAAGTGGGTCACCACAGTGTACAAAGTAGTAAGTCTATAGCCGGATTTTCGTGTATATAACGTACACAATTGAAATATAATATTTATGCAGTACGGTAATACTTAATATGCTATTCAAAGTATTAAAAACATGGGGAAGTTTTTTTTTTTTTTCAAAACCCTCTTCATCTTCAATTCGATTTATGCCTTACTTAAATGACGGTTTATTTTAATACGCTTTAGGACAAGATAAGACCCATACAAGCTCAAAATCGCTCATACTTTTTATTCTGGTTTCTTTTAATCTTAAAAAAACCAAAGTGAATATACTCATGCTTCCTACAATATTGTTTTTCCAGATAGTGTACGGCTGATGCAGTTACAACGTGAATTCTGTTGTCAGCGGCAAATGAAATTACCAATTACTGAATGGAAAGAGACAAGCTCTACATATAGAAAGAAGATGGTTTATTTTTCGTGATGAATATTTCATGTGTCGATAATTGAACTCAGGACCATGTAGGCAAGTATTTTAAATTAGCAAGCTATTCCAGATTCAAGTGGTGACACACATTTCATTTTAATCATTAACATGATAGATCTTATCCTATAAACTTTACTTATGTGTGTCAAACTAAAATGTGATACATATGCTTTGAAATTTGGTAAATCAGATAGGTTTACGAAACACAGACACAATAATGTGATCACAATTTAAGTTCACTTCATAGAATTCCTAATAATTTATGTATACGTTTTTTTAAATCCTTCGTGTTTATATTCTACAGATTGATATGCCTGCAGTGCAGGGAAAAAAACAACCCCCCTCCAAAAAAAAACCCGAGAAAAAAAAAACTACCATTTTCTGCAAGAAGCTCATTAAGGTGTAAACAAACGCAAAACGCATTAAAAATTGAGTGACGCAAACCCACGTCAGACAGATCTCGACCCATCTCAACTTATAGCAAGTGAAGATGAACATAGGTCTTGGTACTATATTCAGTACTAGCATACACAAACCACATCTTTACTGCCTCACTTGAACTAAACTATAAATCATATCAGCGACTAGTGTAAAAATCTAATTGCGTTACAGTCATTATTCACCTAAATTCTCGGAATATTGTCGAAGTCAATTCCATAGTGATTAGGCCGTCTCGAGAGCAATCACATGCGACTCATTCAAAGGAAGGCGCGCATTTATTTAATTATGTTATTCGCGGTAAATGTTGCCACAAATGTACTCACCTTTGAATTCATAACAACTGCAAGGGCCGCTACATGACAGACCAGGAATTCTGGTTCAAATCACTGATCACAAATTGATAGAGGAACTGCTGTGTATTATATTATATACTATAGCCTTGCAATATGTAGGAGTGATCACTCAAATGAAACACTGAAACAGCGAAAGACATCAAATTTAAAATACAATAGCACAAAGGATAAACCACTAAATGGTTTCTAGTAGGGTCCTTCTGGTGCTAAATTTGGCAGTACACTAATAATAATAATAATAATAATAATAATAACTTTATTGTTTCTCTTTTGTAACAGAGGCACAATCTAGAGATGTGCAACAATAATTCACAATATAAGATTTAAAGAAAAAAAAACATAAAACATAATATGTACATTTGTCTAGCAATAGACATTTCTTGCTATCCTAATACACCGTCTAATAAATACAGTACTTTTTTTTTTTTTAAACTAATAACGAAAAGAAAAGTACGCATCCCAGGAAATGAACTACACGCCACTGCTCTCGACACCATTTACGCCATTGCCAGGAATTCATGACAATGCGTGACCAATGCCGAAACCCGACGGCGCGCACTCCATCTCCCGGAGAATGCATTACATTTTATCACTAAGGAGAGACAATCCCCTACTCTTGTTCGAAGAGTGCACTGCGTTCTGTAACATGCACAGGGTCAAATTGCACCCGGGACCATTGGATTAAACGTCTCATCTGAAAGACAGTGCGCTATTCAGCCCTCCAACTGAAAAACGAGGAGAGCAGCGATGGGAATTGAACCGCGGGGACCAAGGCTCAACCTCAGCGCACACACAGTGGTTACCACCAGCTTAGCCTAAGCTAATCGTAAAGTAATACAGAGAAAATCGTTTAAAACCCTGCGAAAAAAAAATAATAAAGTGAACACGTGAACGTTTTTAAATTTCGTATTTATTTAGATTGCTTTTCAATAAAATACATCCACAGGCCTTTATTTTCTACAAACATTTTCTCTTTTGATATGTTGTCAAGAAACAAGTTACCATAACAAATCCATCAAAAGGATCTGTGAACAAACATTGCAATCGTCTGCATGATTTGATCACGTGTCAAAAAAGAAAAAAAACCCCTTTTCTCTACATGCTGTATCGCCAGATTCAAAGACGGACGGCCACTTTACTTAATCGACCCTCTTATCTTTATTTATTCCATATGTACACATCGTACCAATTTTACGCAGTGTTAAGATAATTTGTTATTCTTATCACATACTGATTACACAAAAGCCATAAATTGTGTGGACGACTTTCCGATACACGTTAGATGTATATTTTATAGCAGAATTCAAGTGTTCATCTTCGTTGCAGTGAATAAAATATTAAAGTAAACCTGAAGTACTGACGTCATACTATTTTGATCTAATGAATCATTCTACGTCGGCTGAAAATGTAAAACGTCCTGAAATAATTAATCACTGATTGACTGCAATGCAACATGTGACAGAATTTACGCTTTAATATACGCACTACCGGTAGATTGTAAATAAATGCGCGACTGTGAGTTCAGATCGCGGAAATGACACTAAAGTTGCTTTAAGGTATGCTGTTAAGTGGCACTTAAATAGGTATGTGATGAAGTAGGCATACACTGTCTAGCAACTTAAGCGAGTTGAGTAATGCAGTAATCTAGAGAAACAGTGCAGATAATGGACCTTTACGGTAAGCCCTACCCATTGGGTATTGTTACTGAAGTCCCACAAACTGAGTGTTAAAACTGCTGATTTCTACTATAAGGGCTGGATCGCTCATTGGCCAATAATTGTACAGTAAAAAGTGAAGACACCGTAGCCATGTTGGGGGTACTAGTGGCCTTTTTAAAACTTAATGTATTGTTAAAATACGATGTCGCGTTGTTGATTCCCGTTCAAAAGTTTTGTGCTGTGATAACGTATTCGTCACGCTTTAGGCTTAAAAAAAACCCAACTTAAATAGCAGAAGAATGAGCTGTTCCGCGTATTTGCATTAGACTTGATGGAACATTGACATTTCATTGAAGAATGTTAATCTAGAAAAATGCTTTGTTCTTTGCGTTGCACATTGTGAGCGTTTACATCCAGAAGGACACTTGGCATTGCATCATAGTCAAGTACGCGATAAGAAACTCTGGATGTTTTATTTTCAACAAGTATAAAAGGATGAATACGGACTGGCTATTGCGATTGTTCTATGTAAATATGAATTTTGTGTTTTATTAATTTTTGAATAATATTTGATTTCTTTAATTTTTTTGTTTGTGTAAGCTGATGATTCCTTTTTATATTTGTATAATAAAATATTGAAAAAATAATACTATGATTAAAAAAAAATATGAGCTTTCTGATACCAACTGAAATAAGCTTTACACTTATACAAATCATTGCTTTCAAAAGTACACACATCTTTCATATAACAAGTCAATTACAATACTGTACTTACTCCAACGTAATATTATTTTGTTAAAAACTGAAAAAAAAATAACTTTCAGAAACATGTAAGGTAAAAAAAAAAAAATTAATCTGCTAATCTTATGATTGGCTGATGTTTATGATTAGCTGGATTTATGTTTCATATGTTACAAATATTCATACCATCCATCATGCTAGATTATTTCCTGAGGGCAAGTGGGAGGAGAATCCCTTATGGCTTCCCCTACTTTATTGATGTATGTCATCACTGTATATGCACTTGACAACATACACAAGACCTCTGGAGATAATCTAAACGAGCGTGAGCAAATCGTAGTCGTAGAACATGAAATAATGCAAAACATTTTAGGAAGCGGGCCACGGTAATGAAGAAGACATCCATTACAACAATTGATCTACATAATTAATTGCAGCTGTGATTGAAGGAAAAAAATTATCCACATTACGCAAAAACTAGCAAATCGATTTTTAACCAGCAAAGCATTTCATAGTTGTTGATATAGGCCCAATCAATGTTTATTCTAAAAATTAAAAAAATGCATGATATTGTGTTCCATCATGTCTCCATGGATTCTTCAAGATCGACAGCGACAAAGTCATCTTCGTCGCTCTCTTCACTATCGTAGATTATGTGACCGGCGTTCGCATCCAGATCCAATTCCTCATCACTTTGTTGGTTATCTTCCAGTGCGACCTCATCCATGGTAGGATCAAACTCACTTTCATCCTCCTCTTCCTCCTCGGCAAACTCCGACATTTTCTCATCCTCCTCCATCTTCTGGTTGTTATTGGACTCCGGATGCGATTTGATTATGCTTTGAGAGGGAGTATCCTCATTCTCCGATTCTTCCTCGCTTTCGCTGTGTTGCTGAAGAAATGTGAAATCCCCATCATCATCACTTTCCTCTTCGTCTTCGCTGTTTTCTGGTGTTATTTGCAAATCTTTAAATAAAACACTGTCTTCTCTATGCATTAACACACTATCATTATTTTCCTAAAACAAAATCACATAAATTTAACACAACTATTGTATAATTCATATTTTAAAATTAAATAAATATTAAATTAATATGATTTGCGCATTGAAAATAATAAAAAATGTCTATTTGCTGATATTAAATACATAATTTTATACAAAAATCAATATAAAAATACAAACCATAAGTACCTAGTAGCATTTGATATACTTAAATATGGTCAAGATTTTGTGTATTTTTAGTTCGCATCATCATGTTACAAGTTTAAATTCTAGTTTTGATCCCTTTTAATGGTTATTTTTTTTATTCTTACTTTAATGTAATTAATTCCATGCATAGCTGTTTATGTAATGTAACATTTCGTCTTTGACCACTATGAAAAAATGTTCTGTCCGATTCAGATTTACCTAGAATCGCTTTAAAATTAGCAGAAACACATCAATTTGATGGTGCATTCTTATACAAAAAACATATACAGAATGGAAGGAATCAATTAATAAAAACATTTACTCAATTAAAGACAAAAAATCCTAAACAATAAACACATAAAATATTTAAAAAAAAAAAAAATCTTAGGACATCAAATCAGAACCATATATAGGCACATCATGACTATATATGGGCACATCATGACTATTATGGGCACATCATGACTATATATGAGCACATCATGACTATATATGGGCACATCATGACTATATATGGGCACATCATGATTATATATGAGCACATCATGACTATATATGGGCACATCATGACTATATATGGGCACATCATGACTATATTTATGACAAAATACTGTTGTATGTCCATATATAGTCATGATGTGTCCATATATGGTCATGATGTGGTGATGTCATTATGACAATATGCAGGCATATTCTGGGTATTTGAACTCACCTGTTGATTACTTGGACCCTGTCGAGTTTCATCATACCCTTCAATATCTACAAATTCACTATCGTCGATTCCACCAATCAGCTTCGAGTATGGAAACCCACTCATACTATCGTCATCAAATCCTGCAAAATTATGATTTTAAATTTTAAACATGAATCCACATCAAAATTTAAAAATTGGGACCACATTTCCTGTTCATACACTCTCTCTCTCGTTCGGTATGCTCTCTAAACCAGAAATCTGGATTTGGTGTGGTTTGATTTATTTATATTGCTTTATCTTTTAATAAAAAAAAAAAAAAAAAAAATCTGTATCAAGGACCAGTGTGTGCACATTTGTTTACAAACTCAGTCTAAAACACACTTGCACAGAAAAAAGTGGAAGAATATGATTCTTGAAGCCTTAATGTCCAATGAGAAGACAGAAGGCTAACTCCAACTATATTATACAAAGTGGAGTATCTAGGAGGGTGCACGGGGGCACAAACGCCCCAAAATTATTCGCGCTAACCCCCAAAAATTATTCACGCCCCACAAAAGTCACGGTCAAGTAGTTAAAAATCACCTAAAATCATCTTATTTTGTGAATTGGTGTGCCCCCCCCCCCACACCAACTGATCCTCGAGTTCCCCACTTCAACTTCGTTCCCCCATCAGCACCCCTATTTCAAGACTTCTAGATACGCCACTGATTATACATTATGTTACAATGCCTCCTATGCCGCTACGCATAGGAACCACAAATGCATACAAATTATTTCTATTTTTTAACACAACTGCCCCTACCCACAACTTAAGAAATTTTCTGCAGTTATTAAATAGCAGCTTGTTAATTCCCTTTTCAAATAAAGAGTCATTTTCATTACACTTTTACAGTCTCGAAGGAATACATTACAGATCTTGTTCATAACAAAATGTGAAAAACAATGTTTCACAAAGTGCTCTGGGATTTCCACATTTGATATTAAAAAGGTGAAATATATAAATACTTTTTAATCAAAATTGTCATCTGCAGGATAGCAATAAGAATAGCCAACTGGTCTATATAGATTGCGATATTAAATAAGTTTCTATTATGTTATTCATTGTTTAAAATTATTTAGCTTTATCTTGAATATACCTTAGAGTACTGTAGTACAATTTCTCCCGCAATCCATTTTGCAATGTTGAAGTTCAAGAGAACATTTATTTCTCTTATAATTTCATAATACACAAATAAAATTTCTTATTTAAACAAACTTAAGAAGGGTGAAACCCAAAAAGCAATGCTTGTGGAGGACTGCCCAAACATGACGGGAGATAAGGCAATAAAACTTGTGACAGGACAAGACAAAAAAAAACTCACCTGTACAACTATCTTCATTTGTGGTCGTACTCATTGGTGTGTGCGGCGCTGTAAGACTGTCCGTCTCCGCTGCTTCCATGGCTGCATCGCGAGCGGCTGCGATATTTTTCTCAAGTTGACCTAAATACTCACTATTCTCCACAAGTTCTCGTTTGCACGTTGCCACAATTTCACCCGCAATTCTTGTGTAGTTACTGTCTGGACCTGCAAAAATATAAATTTCAAACTTTGCTATAAAGATTTGATTTAAAAAAAAAATAATAATAATAATTTTAGATTCTCTCAAAATTTCTGTAGATCTCTGTTTTGTCTAGCTAATGATAACTTCCTCATTTAAATAAATAATATTTTGATGAAAAAATTATAATATCATTAAATATAGGTATTGCAAACTTGTATCACTGGTGTTTTCACTGGAATCTCAAAGGCATTTTTTTGTGATAGAACTGTGATATGCCTAAATATGGGCATGATGATGTCACATGATACCCATATGGACAGATAACATTTGTCACAGAAAACTCCATAGTGTGAACAGAGCTTTAAGCCCTGTCCACACTACCAAACTGTATTTGACAAAAACATGTGAAATGCCTAAATATGGTCATCACGACTATATATGGGTATATAACATTTTATGTAAAACAAAAATTTAATAGTGTAGACTGTCACAGAGTGATTATTATTATTATTATTATTATTATTATTATTATTATTATTATTATTACCATTATATGGAAAGACTGTATATGTTGACCTAAAGGAAATGAAGCTCATACTTTTCATATACACTTTGTGTCTTACCTGGATATCTTGTATGCTAATTTTAATTATGCATATGCAAATTTCTTAAGCTAATTTTGGATGATTGTGAGGGGTGGACTGTGTAGAGGTCAGTTGAGGAAGATTGGCTGAGCGTGAGATAGCTCAAGGGAGGCCAATGATTTTAATGGCCAAAAGATAGGCCTAAAAGATTGGAATTATCCTTGTTTTGCGAAGTATCCTGCAGTATGTGGCTAAATGTGTAGCCTGGAATATGCTTGATATATACAAGAAAACTGTGGTGGAATTGAGCCACCCAAGTTTTATGAAAAATATTACAGGAAACCGTAGTGGAATTGAGACGCCTGAGTTTTATGGATAATACGGCCGAGAAAACTGTGGTGGAATTGAGACGCCCGAGTTTTACGGACACTGTGCTACAAGAAACTATTGTAGGAAAGCTGGGGGAATTGAGCCGCCCAAGTTGATTTGTTGCTACGGTAGAACCGAGCAAACGTAATGTGCCGTGAGAACATTTTTTTTTATAAACGGGAACATTTCTGTTCGATATTTGTATAATGATGATTCTGTGTTAATTTTATATCATACCTTTACTTTTCATTGTTAAAGACAGAAGATTCGACAATTAAATAGATAATCTGGTGTGAATTGCAATAAGTTGTACTCAGTCATTTTGACTGCTTGTGACATAGACATAGATTTAGAACTATTCATTATGCCCCACTCAACAACAAAATATCTACTAGAATGAAGTTTTTATTCCAACTGTTTACCAACAATTTAAAACAAGTTACTTTGGAATTTTAAAAGCTGATGCAAATTTGTGAGATTAGTTGGTTAGTTGAACTAAATGTGCACTCTCTCCAATTTAAAATTCTGGGTTCAAATCCAAAGTGAATTACCAACCTACTTCACAATATTAGCTCTCATAAATAATAGATTTGACAGAAACGATATCCAACGACCTAAATTTAATTCACAATCCAAAATGAATTTCACTTTGACGTACCATATTCAATAAAATAGTAATCAAAAGATATCCAGTATTTATAAATAATCCATCCATACTTCAGCCAATGTAATCAGAATGTAAGTAAAATTGTAAACAAAATTAAATATGTATAAAAGTTTAATCAAAAATCAAATTCATTTGACACGATGTAGATTACTTTACAATTCTTGAAAAAATGTTTTCCATTTTGATTACGTCAAGCTTTTTGCTTGTCCAAGCTTCTTCTATGAGAGAATGCTTTTACTTCTCACACCATTAAATATAATGTTTTGTGAGAGACAACTACTATTATACCACAGTATCCATTAGAATTATAATTCATATCTTATATTGCAAAACTGTAAACGTTGGCACGTAAAATGTAGAGGACATGTTTAGTATGCAAAGTATAATTTTAACAGTTGTTACTTCAAGTGTTTTTCATAAATAAATTGCAAGCAGAAAAGGTTAAATACAGTTCATTTAGTTTATCCACAATGAATAGCAACTATAACTTATTTTTATGTGTATCATTTGAATTTGAAACTATCTCTTGAAGACATTACAGATGGCTGAATGCTAATACAGTATTAAGCTATGTCCTGACTATCAAAACATGCAACATGCCCTAATATGGTCACATCATGACTATATATGGTCACATCATGACTATATATGGGCACATCATGACTATATATGGGCACATCATGACTATATGAGGCATGTTGTGGCAAAATGGCCAAGTTGTAGCAAAAATTGAAATTCAAGTTATTGGTATTTTCAGATACCTGAGTATGTGATCTTTAAAATGAGGGGTCATTTATTCAAATTGGAAATTTCAAGCCTAAGTTATTGGAAAGTGAAAGTAGAGTTACTCTTAGAGTCAAGATAAACACGATTTTGAGTAATTACCTTTCAAATTTATTTGTGCATACATTGCTTTTAATAGAATGAACTATGAAAAATAACGTTAAATAAACAATTTGTTAAACCACTTCCAGAACTAATACTTTGGGACATGATTAATAAGACTTTAAACTGTTGATCTATAGTGAAAAACAAATTTGGATTTTTAGGTAATTTTTTGAGCTCCCATATTTTATAGCTCATTTACTCAATACTGGACTGTGCGACTATATATGGGCACATCATGACTATATATGGGCACATCATGACTATATTATGGGCATATCATGACTATATATGGGCACATCATGACTATATATGGGCACATCATGACTATATATAGGCACATCAGGACTATATATGGGCACATCGTGACTATATATGGGCATATCATGACTATATATAGGTATATAGGCACATCATGACTATATATGGGCATACACCAATTTCTTTGTGCAATAGAATTTGATAGTCCGGATAAGGCTTTATACTTGCCTTTTATACGGTAAATTAATTTGCTTTAAATAGATTTTACGATCTGTATAGTATATTTTATCATAAATAAAATAGTGATTAGAATATAAAGAGTTTACTGCAGAACACTTTGATAGTGATTTGATTAAAATCTTTAGATATGCCATCTGACCTGTTACATTTAATTGTATTGCTTTAAATTTTTTTTATTTCAGTTGCAGCAATGGCATATTGCATCAATTTATAAGAATAAGAAAAATAGGCTTCCAGTGGGAGTGTCTACTGCCTAATACAGGGGGTTTTTTGCTATTTTAAACTTGCAAGTAGGCTGTGATAGGCCTAATTACACATTATATTGGTTCTTTTTATTACAGGCCTAGGCATGGTTTTGTATTTCGTAGGCTTACTAAACAGAGCCAGCTACATGACTCTTCATCCTCACGAAAAACCAACACTGAAAAATTTCTATATTTAGCGTATGATGCGATGAGGGGTATTTCACCATTCCCCCAACTGGATTTATTCTTACAAGTATAGAGGTGATAGAAAAGTGTCTACTTGATCGCAAGTGAGCAAGAGACACAAAAACAGCTAATTTCCCTCACATTTTATGTTGTCAACACCTAAGCTAATACATGACATTTTTCTTACCATTATATTTCTTGCTGTTTTCATATATGAGTTCCACATGTTCGAGGAATTCTTCGCGTGTGCGGTAGTAATGGCGTGTTGTGTTTTTTCGAATGGTTTCCAAGTCCATCGGCACTTCCACCACTTTATAATAGTCTTTCACAAATTTGGCTTTAACAGGATTGTGGAAAGGCCAACACTAGAATGTAAAAAAGAAAAAAGGAAGATTGAAGGTGATAAGTATTCAGCCCATCTCTTAAGTTTGTAGTAATGTTTACGCAAATGTTCTACATACTGCAGGTACTGTATAAGGCAAACCCATGATTTATTTTATACTTGGTTTGGAACCAAGTATAAAAAGATAATCATGTAAATTGTTGTTTTCCCTTTCTAACTTTGAGTAGAATAACAAAGTTATCATCAATTGTACAAGTAAAGATTAAAGATTATCCATTTGGTAAGACTGGTCCTTGATAATGTTCATACCCCATACTGGCACTGCGTATTCTAATACAGGTCTAATGAACAGCAATAGCGCATGGCTATCAACACCTGACCGTTTAAGTTGTCTACAAAAAAATAATTTAGAATTACACTTCTTTTTATTATCAATATGCTGTTGCCAAGATAAATTGCTGCTCAAGACGAGTCCAAGCAATTTAGTTACAGAAACACAAACAATGTTACTACCTGTTATCTTTAAAACAGAGTGATTCAAATTCTGTTTAACTATTTTGCATTCTATTATTATGACAGCTTTTGTGTATGCAGAAGCTTTACGGTTGGACTGCATAACAAAACATAGAGCCTCACTAGGCCTATTTGTCACGTGTAGGCATAACCTTATGTTTAAGACCCTCTAGCTAGGATTTAGGTGACAATAGTCAGTCCACTTTTCAACCAGAAGAAAAATGAATAACCAAATAAATTTGTCAAATCATATTGTGGTCGTTTTTAACCCACTGATGTGGCTAGCCTAGGGACCTAGGCAGATAGGCTACCTAGAGGATATGCACTTTGTTTCTGAAAATCAACACCAAAATATTTTATCTCTTTAATTTATTATATTTTATGTACAGTAGGGCTTTTACTAACTATAGTACTTCTACTCTCGTCCGTACCATGCTGAATAACATGTTCTACCATTTTAAATGATGGAATTCAGTTGAAACAACGAGCCAACTGCATTGAAAATTATAACATTTTATGCCACAAAGTTGGACTCTCGCGCAAGTGTTGTGAGTCAAGCTAAACTTTTTTGTCAACAGTGTACTTACAATTTCTCATATTTTAAAGTCAATACAGTTAATAATCTATTCAATTCAAGTCAATTCAATTTTTATTTGTCAATAACGCATTCATGGTCATAGATTTTCTCGGTTTGTAAACATTTTCAAAACTATATTCGTTTTTTACGTTATCGTTGTGAAAAACCCTGCGAAAACCCAGTACTCTGTGACGAAAATAATTGGGCATCAGCTAAAAAGTTCAAAAAATAATGATGTGGTCGTTTTCATTATCATTTCATAAAGTTGTGAAACAATTATATTAACATGTGCATCCAATATTCGAGATTGACTTTACATTCTCAAATGTTTCTCAGACTCAACATTATTTGATCAAATTTTTTTTTTAAATGTAAACTGATTAAGGCTATTTTTCTTGCTTCAGCAAACAGCAAGGCTATACATTATCATTCACTCTCCAACAGTTTCACCTCTGCATATGTATTTCTCCATCGTCATGAAATCAAACTTCTCAAAATCAGAAATAAAGACTTTGATGAATTCAGAAAACATAAATTGAACTCAATCGCTATCATTTATCATCTTTCTTTACTCTTGCTTCATCATTTTCATCCAGCACCATCGCTCCTTCAAAGACTCTCATCGTCAACATCATCTGCTCCATATATCATTCAAATTAATCCTTCATATTCAATGCCAATCATCTAGATCTAACAAGCTTTGCATCGTAATACTCGAAATAAAAAAGATTACGCTAATTATTATTCATCAATCAATCACAAAACTCATCGGTATGAGCTGCACAGAAAGCATACGCAAAGATTAAGCTAATATCATCTTGTACGTTAAAATATGCCTCAATTTTTTTGATTCATATAATTTTAAATATTATTTTATACACTTTATAATGAGGCCCCTTTCCTATTTGTTTGGTACACTTAAAACTCATATACTCATATATTTGTAGTATGAACTTAATAAATTGCCAACCACTACCAATGTACTTCCACTTTAATGCACGTTATATGTTCTAGGTTGGATGCTCCTCCAAGGGCTCTAAGCTGGAGTTAACATTTTAACTTGATTTTTTTATTTTTTTATTTTTATTTTTTTACCCCAGGCATTGAACCCATTTCAAACTCAAACCCATTGTGTAGTAAAGGTAATACTAGCAAGTTTGCATCAGGAAAATATCATAGGAGTGATTCTTTACCATACCTGACATGTTATCATACCGAATATTCAGTAAGTTTCCAAAAAAAATTTGCAAGTGATTCATGCAAGTGGGAATCGAACCCACGACCTCCAGATATCTAGCCTGGCGCCAAACTAAACTATGAGAATAAATATATATACTAACATCTGGTACAGCTTTTAGGGTTGTCACAATATTGTCTAATATGAATGAGAATGCCACTTGATCGTCGTCATCCAAAAGCGGATTGATTTTCTTCTCAATTCGGAGGAACTTTTCTTTTTTCTGAAAATCAAAATTAAAAAAAAATATTGTTCAAATTTTTCCTCTACAATTTATGAACATACAAATTAGGTAAAAAAGGTTAATGTGTTTACAAAAAAATAACTACATTAAAGCATAGAAACCATAAGTACTAACCATTACTATAAGGTGAACTAAAAACAAAATCATATTTCTCATAAAGATTTCAAAAAAGGATGACAATGTAATTTATTCTTTCTCTAAAAATTAAAGCCAACACACACTGTCATGTATCTAGCCATCGGCCAGACATTCTATAGGCAAGCACATACAATTTCAGAGAAAGACAGCGGCTTAGTTTTGATTCAATTTATTCCCGACATTAACTCAACTGAGTTTCTGAATATAAATCACAAAAGTTTGTAAATTACAATTATAAAACGTAATCATTTTTAATAATATTCTATTCAAATATGCAATTATTCTAGATGCTGCTATTAGCTTATAATAATGTGATAATGCGATAATGCAATCTGATGTTTCTATTATTTCAGTTTACGTCATAATTTTTGTTTATCTCCTGCTTCCGTTATTGTTCGTCCAAATTAACTTATTCAACTTATTGTAAATCTAGAATATTTGGTTCGTATTGTTTCTCATCAAGGAGGTGTTAAGCTTAGATTAGTTTCATTCAACTATACCTTCTCACCTTTTGTCGATTAATTATGTTATTATTATAAATATTGTTGTTGACAATAAAGTTGAAGTTGAAGTTGTAAGTTAAGTTAAAAAATCACAGTCACGTTAGAGAAGAAAGCATGCCAAGACCCAGATTTCAAAATCAAATAGTTTTTGCATCAATTTATAATAAATCTACCTAATAAACAGGTACAACTCACATTAGAATATGATTATTTTGTTGAAACAAAAGACATTTTCATATGCTATGTAATAAGAACATGTTTCAAATCAAAATACAGTTTATTTAATATGATTCATTAGAATTTTTATGCATTGCATTGTACTGGTGCCTCTGCATATTATTTTAACTTATATCTGAACATTTATAATTTGTTTAGCTTTGATTTAAATTATATGATGCATCAGTAATTGGTAGCACTTTTATTTATTCATTAAAAACACTACAAAAAAGTGCTGTATTAAAAAAAATTAAGGAATATTAACCAAATTGAAGCAAATCAGGAAAATAAAATAGGAATGAAAAATAACGAACAGAACAACAACTTAAAAATTGGAATAGCAATAATAAATATAAACAATTTACAAAATAATGAAACGGATTAATTATTTGAAGAATAAAATGTATTATCATAAATAAAATTCATAAAATTTAAATAAGTTCAATAATAATAACAATATTACTAAAAACATAAGAGTACACATTTTATAATAATTACAGAATAAACTGACATTATGTTTTTAATAGGCATGATATAAATTTAGGGTAGTGGATTTATTTACTGTACATAACCCTAAAGAGAAACAAATTATATGTTTATGTCAAAACCAAATTTTGCATACCTACTATCTTGACTTATCAATCAGGCAACCATTGACTACACATGGAAAGTTCCAATGTGATGAATATTGAAATACAAAATATAAAGGGCCACCACCAAACTATTCATTCATTCATTTATTTGATAAATAATCAACAAACAAATACAGACATAAAATTCAAGGAGGAACAAGGACAAAAATGATGAGAAATACGTTCAAATCGCAAAAGGTCAAAGGAAAAAGTTAAAAAATGATTAAGGAAAAGATTAAAACAAGGATAATAAAATGTAATTATTAAGATAATTACAATCAATACTTTACAAGATGTTTCTTTAAAAATTTATAAAAGCTAAAATCTCGAGAAAGTCTTGTTAAAATTGTTAGAAAAGTTAAGGATTTTTTCAGTCCTGTTTTCATGTCTAGGTTGGCCTACACCATGAGGCTTGCCATCCTATAATATAAAAATGAGTTATTAGCACCAAAATATGGCAGTATTGTATGCTTTAGTTCACAGAAGCTGCAATAATTTTACATAACTTTGGCAAAAGTAAATCGATTCTAGTAAATGACATATCACTTTAAAGCTTATATGTGGAGTATATGAATACTAAAAAGTCAGTTTTCTTGTTTTGATCACTGATAATTTGTTAGCTGTACAAAATAAATTTTCAAAAAGAGCAATGGAAATAATTTAAAGTATACCAACTAACTCTAATTTTCAATTGTAACCCTGAAGAGCGGAGCAGGGGCTCCCGAAAATTTGGTTTTTCAATAAAGTCATCATATGCTCAAGAATGTTATTTTGTTTTTGTCTACCTATTTTATATATATTGAAGCATACGTGGACAGGATATCCTTTGATCATCAACACAAAGAAGTGAAATTTATCATGCTGACTGTGATACCAGCTTTAATAACAGATTAGTGAAATATATTGACCTACAACTATTAGTAGTGAAATATATTCTACTGTACTTGTACCAACTAACGCTAAGTAGAAGTGACATTCTTTTAAAGGATACCAACTAAAGCTAAGTAGAGAGCTATATTGTCTTTGAAACGACACATACATTAACTATAGCATAGAGCAGTAAAATTCTTCCAAGATAGCATATCACTTACCTCTTCCAGTTTCTTCAGACAGACTGCGTGCATGTTCTTTGCGATAATTGTCATCGGGCTTTTTTCGCCATTGTACAGGATGCTATTATCGACAATTTGCTGAGAATCCGAGACAAAAAGATCTCGAGACTGGTACTTCCGTTTTCTCAGGTTCTGAAAATTGAAAACAAACGATTTGAATAAGGGGTTTGGAAGGTAAATCTGACAGGAAAACCAAGGCAACAAAAGCCGTGTGCCCCACGGGAAGCAACATGTCCCACAGGAATGTCGTAAGTTGAAACACACAATGATGTGAGAGTGGACGAGCTAGATAAGTGTGTGGGCAAAAGAACCATTCCAAACCAACATAGCAACTCTAATATTTTACACATTTTCCCATCGGTGAATGAATAGATTGAAAAGAATTCAAAATAAAGGAAATTTAATTGAGAAACACTGAAAAGAATCTATAATAAAATAAAATGGTCTCTCAAATGTAATTAACGTGTGTTCTATTCTAAGAAATTGTTATGTTTGCTAATTGAATACATGTGTGAATTAAATCTGTGATGTAAATACTTTTACACAATGCAATGCATTACTTGTGGACAACACAGACATAGAGGATGTTGTGTCTGCTTTGAGGCTTTTCTCGTTAAAACCTAGCTGTACTAAAAAAAAAAATTTAGAGGCTCTCGTAGAAAATGATTGAACTAAATAAATAGAAGTTCACAATCGAGTACTTTAGGAACCTGTTGACGGCTTAATCTTTTTTGGCAGGTCAACAGGTGGGGGGCATAATGTTTAAGTATCATATTGTGCAAGACATAAACAACACTGATATTCCTGTCACATCTCATGCAATTTTCATACCATCTCATATGCATACTCATATATAAATATAATAACAGTGGATTTTTCTTTTGGGCACATTGAAGATTTACTATTCCAACAATGCTGTCTGTTTAATGCCTATGCCTGTATGTCTGCCTGTGTGTCTCCATGTATATCTACAATATGTATATCTAATCCTAATAAAGTCTGTTTAATCTATGTATAGCCTATGTATAGTATACAGAATTTGTTGTTTGTTAATTATACAAATGTGT